AAAATATTTCTAAGCCACTGTCATGAATGGATGGCTTAGAGGGGATTTCGTAAGACCACAATGTACGCGTGAGTATAAACTAGCAGTGGCATTTATATTAATAATCATAATAGCCCACCATCGCCTGATCCGATATCAAGATGACGAAATCCATCTTCATCCACGGGTAAAGTGATCTTGTCAATGATGCCAGAAAGATTGGACTGTAACCATTGCTCAAACTCTTTCTTCTCTGTACTTCGTCTGTGGTACTCTTCTAACGAGTTCCTGTATGTTGGCCACTCCATCTTACTATCACACGATGTTGGTAGTGATTAGGTTATTTATACCCTCACTTGGAAATCTGGATAACGAAAATTGAAATGATAAGAATAAAGTTTAAGGTAGAAACCAGTTTCAATGTTAAAGCAATGTAATACATAAATAAATCAATGTTTAAAATAATTCAAACTTAAATAGTATAAACCATCATTTCTTTTTCCATCTGTTACCAGTCGACAATTTGGGATATGGTACCACACTAACCAATGCTAAATGCATTATAATAATACCAACATTGCCATCAGTCACTTAAATATAGTCATTATTTCCTCAAACAATATGCTGGACACTCAACACGTTCTCCCCATTCAACATCCTTATATTGACCAAAAGCACAATATACATTGTAAAATGCACATAACATGCATGAATAGGCCTATTAATTGAAGCAGTGGGGTTCAAAGTTCAGTACGGCAGAGGTCTGTTTATTGGGAGGGGGTAGACACGTGCAAGATACGGCGTTTATAAATGGCATTACAAAAAGTATAGTCCTGCTGCTACTGTTGTACGCATCAGAAATTTTACTTCTACCAGTCTAAACTTAAAGCAGACTCAATACCATCTCGATTACCAAGCACGTAACCCTGATTGTCCAACAAACCTGTCTGTGGCAACACTCATGCGATTATCCGGTGACACCCGGCTAACATATATTATCAACGCCAGAAAATGTAGGTCTGTCAATTATTATAAACCGATCTGGCGTCAACCCCAAGGTCTGATTAATCACATATTGCACGACAGCAAATGTACTGCATCAATGCCGCGGCTGGTCATTGCCGTCTAGTGGCAATATGTAAAACCTGGTGGGATAACACACTTAGCTTACCATATCAGCACTAGTGCAACCCAGGGACCACGTGTCAAGCTAGTTATTTCGCGATGCAGGTCGTTCAAACAGACTCTGCTTAGCAACGTTATAGCTCTGCTACAGTACAGGTCACATACATAGAAACATGATATCACCATGTCAATGGCGATACACGGGTCAGGGACGCCACGTACAATACAGCATACGTGTACAAGCGGATTATGTAAAACAGTTGAAAGGAGAATGTGAGGCAGATAAACTGCGACAGGGCAAGAAAACAATAATAACGAATTGAAATGTGATAGAAATGCAATTTAGGATGAGTACCATTACATAATGAACTGCTCTTTATAGTGAAATCAAGGATGCACTTTACAGTAAAATTAAATATGCAAACCCAACTTTTAATTCATTTAATAGCGATGCCAAATTTGCAAATACAATGCATCAACACTATTATACCTAGATCAATACATAAAAAAGTGGTTTTATGTAATAAATGTAATTTATGTAATTTATATTTACAAATTATTATTATTATATAATCTATATAATTTATATATTTATTTTTATTTATTATTTTTGTCCATTTTATTATATTTTTCCCACTGTTCTCTTTTTTTCTTGAAATTAGAATAACATTTGACTACGTTAAATTCAAAACGATTAATGTCTGTAAAATAATATATAATGGATGTCACATATTTAGATTGCATGTACATTATGTAGTATAATGTTAAATAGGCTTCATCTGATGATAAAATTCAGTACAACACGCAATATATTGTTCGTCGATGATTATTCTGATTATACCAAGGGCATGGCTTGAGCAATAGTGTCACCCTGTGCCGGGGGAGTTCATTTGACCAGAGTATGTGTAATCGTTTACGCCACAAGACACACCGTGTAGGGTATTGTAAGTGCTTAGCCCTGAC